GTCTTGAGGTGATCTTTCTTTTGGGTTTGCCTTGCTAATTGCTTTCCAGAGATTTGGGTCTCTCTACTTAGGGAATTTGTCCCCAGCGTCTCCTCTCGCCGATTGACAGGCTTTTAGCCAGCGAGGAGCTCCTATGGCATCCCAGCCATCCAAGCCATCCATCTATTGAATGCTGAATTCCGGAACATGTGGAATTTCGCAAGACTCTATGAAATGGCCTGCCAAAGATGAGTGTCGATACGTTCTGTGCTAAAGGGATGGGATGGGATGTGCTATACGATGACCGAACAAAAAACGAGAAGGGACGTGTGAGACGCTTCTTACGCGTCTTACATCTTTTATACCCGGCACTAAGTACTAGATCTGCACCTTAGCGGTGTTTTGTCAAATTTTACATTTTTTCTTCATCTGTCATCTACATCAACAACACTACTCACACCAACACGCTCCTTTAGCTCGCCACCCACCCCTAGAGCCTCACACTGCAGAGACGCGGCAGAGGCAGAGACGTGTCTGCGCGAAGCAGAGTGTGAATGAGAGAATGTGAAAAAATGTGGGTTTAGAGACTGCAAATTAATTTCTTCATTGTGGCCATAATAATGACCCAATGATCCAATCCCAATTTGGTGATCTGATAGATATGGGCATTCCCTACTAAATGGCGTTTTTATACCCGGTACTTGAAGAGTAAATAGGGTATATTGTATTTGTGGGGAATAACGGTTGGATGTAACGCACAGAAGGAAACGTTTCCGACCCTATAAAGTGTATATATTCTTGATCAGCATCAATAGACGAGTCGATAGAGCCATGTCTGTTGTCCGTCTTGTTTGTCGGCTAGTTCTCAGAGACTATAAGAGCTAGAGCCACCAAATGTTGCATCCAGACTGCTATATGCTCACACTGAAACCAGTGTATTTCAAAAATGAGCCACGCCCCCTTCCGCCCCCGCAAAAGGTTGAAAACCTTCCAAATCTACAATTTTGAAGATAAAAGACAACTAAAAACGCCATTCCGTAGGGAATGGCCGTATCTATCAGATCACCAAATTGGGATCCGATCAGATCATTATTATAGCCAGAATGAAGAAATTCAATGGCTAAACCCACCCTGTCCAGCAGCTTTTGGTGTTATTTTCACATTCTCTCATTTACACAATGCTTCCTGCAGTGTGCGGCAGCTGCCTCTGCCTCTGCCATGACTCTGCAGTGTTTGGTTCTAGGGAATGGGGGCGAGCTAAAGCAGCGTGTTGGCGTGAGAAGTGTTGTAGATGTAGATGACAGATGAAAAAAAAAGATGAGTACAGATGTAGTACTGAGTGCCGGGTATAAAAGCTGTGACGCGTAAGAAGCGTCTCACACGTCCCTTCTCGTTAGTTTTCTTCTATCTTCAAAATTGTAGATTTGGGAGGTTTTCGCCCTTTTGCGCGGGGCGGGGCTAATTTTGGAAATACACTGGTTTCAGTGTGAGCATATAGCAGTCTGGGTGCAAAATTTGATGGCTCTTATAGTCTCTGAGAACAAGCCGACAAACAAGACGGACAGACGGACGGACGGACAGACAGACATGGCTCTATGGACTCGTCTATTGATGCTGAACAAGAATATATATACTTTATAGGGTCGAAAACGTTTCCTTCTGTTCGTTACAAACGTTATACACACAAATTCAATATACCCTAATTACTCTTCGAGTACCGGGTATAATGAGGTCAGAATGGGTTTTAAACAACCGAATAAATATAGGAAACAAAAAGCCTAAGAAAACATAACAAACAAAAGCCACAGAGAGCTCTGGCACTTGAGAAACAAATGAATTTGTTAACGATTTGAATCCATTAAATAACAATAACCATTCATATTGAGAGTGTAAAAAGTCTGGATAAAGCTATAACAAGAGCCCAAGTGCTGACATTCCTCCAGGCTGCTTAGAAAACAATTTCTGGAGACATCAGATGAACGAAGATATCATCAACTTCGCTGCTGCTTGGTGGTCTGTGGTATAAACTTATTTTTAATTCACTAATCACACATGAATAACGGTTACATTTCTGGTAGCCACCAGTCTGAGTGTAGATTGTTGAAGCTCCGACAAGTGTGGGACTCCTCCGCTTTGAGTTGCATTTTACACTAGCTCCTCGAATTTAGCAAATTCAGTGTTCAGTGCCATGTAATACAAAGCCCGACAATTTACGAGAGCCCAGGCCAGAAAAAATAAATTAATTTAAGCTAAGGATTTTACGTTCACTTACATATGTTTGTATGTGCAGTGATTTGCACATGTGATGAATACTCAATACTTGGGTAGCTGCCTAGCAACTTGTAGATACGTAATAGATTTTTGTGAAGGTTTACCTAAAGATGTAATAAACATTTAATAAGGAATAAATAGGTAAAATATTTTTAAAAATCATGAGAATATATACATACATAGATATAGATCCAGTAATTTCTTTAAATTTAAATATAGCATTAGAGTAAAATAAATTTTGAGAGCAAGCTGAGATAGGTGAAGTCTCTCTCTGTCAAAAACTTAGCACCAACCCAGGAACAAAGTCGATCTTATTTGTGTGATTCTGCTATATACTCGAACATATTCATGTAGCTCTAGGTATAACAGGCAGAGTATTTGAAAACATAGAATATTAAAGTTCGGATTATGCGCAATCGTAGGATAGTTTAAGTATTTTCCAAGAAGAAGGAAATCCCTTCATCGGACAATATTTGGTATTTCATTCAGTTTTATTTCCATTTCATTAGTGCAAAAATGGAATGACTGAAGCAGGGGAAATAAAAAGAAAAGAGCTGGGAAGTGGGAACTGGGAAGTGGGAACTGAGAAATGGGAACTGGGAGAGCAGAGAACTGTACCACTAAGATGCCTAATCACATCCAAGACGAGCGATGACCGATGATGGCCATAAAAGTTCACATGAGATTCTGCCGCTGCCGCCTGGTTCCCAGCCACCGTCCCTGGCTCTCGCGATCTGTGCCCTGGTCATGCAGGAAGTTCAAGTGCGCGAGAGAGAGAGAGAGAGAGGCAGAAATTCTGACATTCATATATTCCGACTTGGCCCCGTCTCTAGGCGGTCAAATCTTGGCCCCAGCAGTAGCCAAAGCAGCCACAGAAGCTGCCAAAGAGGGCACGGAAGAGGCAGGCAGCAGGCAGAATACTCACGACCGAGCCCGATAGAAGATCATAAAGTAATAATAAAACAAAAACAAAAATAAAGGATGAGGAAAACGAGTAGCGAATAATGCAATACACATTAGATATAGAACAAGTCTATAGAAAATTACGATTTATGTAACAAGTTGAAGAATTCAAGTGCATTTATTTCCGCATCTGGAACGAAGTGGAAAAGCGAGCGAATAAAAAAAAAATACCCATTACGAGTGACAACTAATGGACGCAGCTGTTACCGCGGTTTGGATTCTAAGCTGCGGGGAGTTTTTGTAGAAAATTTGTTGAAAATCTTTTGAGTTATGAAGAGTCCAGGCCATAAAATGGCACATAGAAACATTTGCATCAGTTTGGGTAAAATAACAATTAATTAATATACGCTTAAAATATATGCTAATAATACACAAAAATCTTAAACGCAATTTCCATTTATTATTTCCATTACATACATCCAGCTAGACCCAATAAACTCTTTGGACACCCATTACTGCGCACAGAGATGACGATCAAAAGCAAAGCAAAAGAAAGCGACGTGAAACTGATGTGGACACTCTAGACGGGCTGGACCACAGATGGACTGGGCCGAGGGGAAGGATCAGTCAGTGCACCCATTAGGCATCAGAACCATGAGAGCATCAGTGGATGTGACCACGGGCCAGTCCATGAGCCAGTCAGCCAGTTACCCATTCAGAGGCAGTCGGTCAGTCGGGGCAGTCGGTTATTAAATGTGACCATAAGAAATAGAAATAGAAACAACACCATAGAAATCTTGCAGGCAAACAGGAAGGTAAGGGAGAGAGAGAGTTATTATAAAACAGCGCGTAGAATTGCCTGGGCCGAGCCCAAGGAGGATGTGGATAGTTGTGGCTGTTGGTTTGTGGATTGCATAGAGAAAGAGAGAGAGAGAGAGAGCTAGCCAGCAGTCCAGTCGGTTGGACTTGTAAAAATCATAGCGCTGCTAAAGCGTACAAGGCAAACAATTATAATTTCCAATCAACTGATCAATTTTTAATGATGCAACTGCCACAAGCCGACGCCAAATGCCCGATGCCCGCGATGCAACAGAAGGAGATCGAGGTGCAATGGAGGTGCAGTGGAGTGTAGGCCTCTAATATGTTGTCCAAAGTGCATGCTGGAATTCAGCTAAAGTCTTCAGCTACTTCTCCGATTCGTACACCAACTCTTCAACTCTAACTGCAACTTCATCGTGATCATGATCATGATCATCATCATTGGTCGCAGACGATGTCGCTGTCGCCTTGGCCACGGGACATGTGTAAGAAACATTCCCATAGGTGTGATTGCTGGCGCGCAAGAACAAGTAAAACACCAAATTACTGTTACCCACACAGACACACAAAAATACACAGACTGACACATGGCACTTGGGCGGGTGGTCGAATGGCAGTGACAGGGGGATGGCCACTTGGTGACGACCGACTCCTCCAAGCCATTGGCACTGGACCAACTACACAAAAAACGAAAAACGAATGAACGAAGGAACGAAGTGGCTTCGTGATCGATGCAAGCTTTTGATGTGCCTGACGACTGCCTTGATTGCTTGCACTGTCCCTCCCCACTCCCCACCCACCACCCCCCACTCCACACTGCCAAATTCAAAGCCAAAGCCAAACCCAAACAACTTTGTGGCTGGACACTTGCCATGCAAATTGTCGGAGGCGCGGCGCCTGCTTTTGATTGAATTGTCTCCTTCTATGCTTAGGATGAGATCATAGAATTTACACTTGAAGATTAGGCAATGACAGTGAGAGTTGACAGATTCTCCATTTGGTATCTCGCATTGAAATAAATAATAAACTTTGCTATGGAAATATCTGGACCACAGCTTCCAGATATTCCAGGTATTCTCTTACAACATTTTAAAAACCACATTCAAGTACTCTTTTAGCCATGACAAAAGTTTTAAAATTTAACCATTCTTTAAGAATGTTTAGGCAATATAAAGCTCTAAAATTTCCAACGTTCTGCTAAAGTTCCAGCTTTCCATGATGTCGTCCTCAATCGCGTTAGACATGAATACCTGCACACAGTCTGCGAAAATTTAAAGTGCTATTAAATATATGTGGAAGAGGGTCAATTAATTATATCAAACCTTTGCGCTGGGGGTGCTTGGTTTTGGGCTTGGTTTTGAACTTGGTTCTGTGCATCGTTTCTGGGTGCGACTTCCAGTGTCATTATGAATTTATAAATGCCATAATAGATGAGACACAGTACGCCGAAAAAAACAGGACTTGAATTTTCAATTAATTTTGAATGTAAACACAAAGTAAGTTGATGCCAACAATCGTGACTACTTTGAAGACTGTACTACCTGTGCATCAGTCGTCTTTGGGATGTCTTGAAATTAATATTTATCTCTTAAGATATTTCATGCAGGGTATATAAGGTAAGAATTGTATTTATACAAGTTTCACTGGAAATGTTTGCTTCATTTTCAAATTTAATAATGGTATTTGCGAATAGAATTTAATGGGCATCCTCAGTTGTATATTGAGGAATATTTTCTAGAGATTTGCATCTCCCATTTGGCTATGACTGATGGCAATTCCATGGGCCATCGATCACTTTCAAAGGAATATTTACTGCCATAGATGATCTGTGGCTAAACTGAAGTATCCATGACGTACTCGTACTGGTCTGTGTATGAATCTGTGTATGATCTGCAAGAGAGAGCCATGAGAGAGTTCCCATTTTTGCAACCATCGATGCTGACCGTTATTTAATAAGGAAATTTAATCAGACAAGCAGTCGCAGTCGCAGTAAGGGGGGAGACACTCTACACGCATGCTAGAGTGTCCAAAACTCAGGTGGCGATGTGTCCGTGTGGCCATGTGTACGTGTCCACGGTGCCAGGCGCCAAATGCTTAGAACGTATTTCATTTCGGGATCTCAGTCGCCGCACGCAGACAAATTACGAATGCAAATTCAATACACAACCCCCCTCTCCCGCACCACTTATTCACCGCTACACCTCCGTGTTTTTTTTTGCTGGAGGAAAGGCCGCTTCGAGTGGCCAGCAAATTGTTCGCACGCTTCTCTCGCTGCTCGAAAGGGGGAGAGATGGGCTAGGGGGTAGGGGAGGGCATAACAAATGCGTTTGGGATTTTCGCGCATTTTCTTTTATTTTTCAATTACAACGTGCTCGATCTGCTGAACGGCTAATAAAAAGTTGATCGTCGTGGCCTGGCAAATACACATCCACATCTCCGACCATCTACAGCCATCTTCAGCAATCTTCAGCCATCTGCAACGATCACCGGCCATGGCTTGGGCTCGATCATCGCTGTTTGTCAATTAATTGATTGCATTCTCTGCATCGACTGTAATAACTGTCGTATTTGCCATTAAATATGTGCTTCTTTTTCCCCCATTCCTCCACCACTGTGACGGAGCAAGATCGCCGATCGACTAATGTAAAAGTTGTTTCGTTCTTGATACTGAGGGTATACTGATGCACAAAAGGTCTATAAAAATATGCCAGAAAATGATAAAGCCACGCATATATGTCTGATTAGATGTATGTACATTTCGTACAGGAAAGCGTTCAGAACCATTTGCATAACATACTAGAATTGTTCAATATCTATCATTAAGAGTAAAAATTAAGATTTTAGTCCGATTATGCTTACCATTTTTACATGGCTACCAGTATGAGTGTGAACTGTTAAAGCTCCAATATGTATGGGACTCCTAGGCTTTGAGTGGCGTTGAGCCCCTCGAATTCAGGAAAATCAGTGTTCAGCGCAATGTAATACATAACTTGGGATTGGGAATCATTTTAGCTTGGGATAATATTTTACGCTCACTTATTTCCAATGATTATTTTGTGATCAAAACTCGATTGACAGCTAGAATATATTCTGATGGGCTACTACTTTTTCTAGATTTAATGGAAAGCTAAAAAATAATTTGAGCCCTAACCAACTTTATTTAATAGATTACTTGGGAGAGCATTTAATATTCGTTGGACACGTGCGCCCCCAAAAAAAGAACTGAATGCTGATGATGCAAATAGAGGCCTGAGGGTTGGCCAATGATCGCAATTGATTTATCATATATTTGTGGCCATATGCTAAGCCGGCAGGCCAAAAGCCATCTGTACCGCTACAGAGTCTGGTTCGCTCGTTTGCCTATCGAATTGTTCTCAGGCTAATTGAGGTTCTTCTATTTCTTAGGTTGGACATTTGTTGAAACGAATCTCCATTCATTGCCAACGAACGCCACTTGCCCATTAATTTTCCCTCTCGTATTTTCCATTTCCCAATTTTCAGTTGTCTGTTCTTCAGGCCTGCTTTCGCCACAGACCTCTCGCTGGGCCTGGAAAAATTTGGCAAAAATATATAAATCATTTAGTACCATCCCATTTGGTTTGAGTTAATTGAATTGAATGGAATTCATTCGATTTGGCACACAGTCGCAAGAAGCCATTGTCTATGCTTGATGGCTTGCTCATTTCCCCCACACCAACCCACCCCGCCCCACAAATTTTCATCCAATTTCCATTTGAATCAATCCCGCTGAAGAACGAAAAGTTGTTCGTTGTTTTCCAATGAAAGAAACCTAAAGTGAACTGAATGCAAATAAAATGATAAAAAAAAACAAAAATGTAAATTGATAACTTGGATTTATCTATTTTACGGCTTTCTAGTTCTCAACAAGTTTTTTTTGTCCACAGTGCGTTTCGGCACTTTAAAGCCAAGTTTTGAAAATGTAGGGAACGGAAAGGGAATAACTCGGGGGATAACTTTCCGCAGATGGGTTCATGAATTAATGAAAGTAATCAACAAAAATCCATTTATCGGTTAAAATTGTGAACTAAATGTATATTGATGATAAAATATTAAAATTAAATAATAGGGGAATATTTTCAGAAGTAAATGGATCGTTGGATTGGTTCAGTTTCCTTCACTTAATTACTTTATTTTAATTTTTGGATAATTTTTAAAAATAAACCTTCAACAGGGTTTGATTTTTAAATGCAAAAGAAAAACGAGAATATATGTATATGTAACATATGTAACAATATTATTAATAAATTCCAATGCCGAGAGTTCCACCTTTCTTAGCTTTCTTTCTTCTCTGAGCGTCTCTCCATCTATCCCCCTAGCTGTACACTTTTGTGACGCACTGTATATACTCTTTGTTGAATGTTGCATTTGTTAGTGGAAGAAGAACCCTTAATATGTGTTAGTGTTTGTGTGTATATTTATTTATTTATATTATTGTGTGTGGTTTTTGTGTGATGTATTTTATTTTCTTTTCACTGTTTGAGATCGAAACACGTTTCTCGATTCTTTTCATTTTGCGGCCTTTTGTTTGCTTTCCGATATTTAATTGTCTTTTGCCTATTGGTTTTCGTTGCCCAATTAGGATTTCCTATAGAAAGCCAATGGGTTTATTTTCATTTCGTTTTATTGGATTTTAATGAATGCAATTCAAACTCAGCACACAGCCACAGACCTGTCTTGGCCATTGTTAAAATTGATTTTTATGAATTTTTAATTGAGAGAAGAAATGGGGAAATGTAGGTTTTGATGTTTGCTACAATCAGGCGAGGCACGACAAGGTCGCCCTACAACGGAGACTCAACGATAGCCACAAATTGGATTCCAAAATCCCCCTCACCCCCCTTCTTTTGTTCTGTATCGGGTTTTATTGACTGTCTGAGCATAGCAGGGTGATTCAGTGTTCATTAATCCATTTGATCTGATCATCATTCGCCCCAACTTTAATTTCGCATTCTTTTTGGGAAATTTTGCATGAGAATTAATAATTATTTGATGATCAAATACCTGGCAGCCTAGACATTTGCTTCTTCAGGACTTCCGCTTCGCATCGATCTCCCCCTTTTTTCTCTCGTTCTCGTTCTTCAATCAGACTGCTCTGCTTTTGGCGGAAGTTATACCCGTGAATAAACCCGAAATCTAAGCACTTTTCTAGCCCAAAAGGAGCCGCATTAAATAAGGATCCCAAGCCTCCGTTTCCCATAGTTCCAGAAAACCCTTTGACGCACCCTCAACAACAACAAAAACTTCTGTCGGATCTACGTGTTTGAATTCTCATTTCTGTGACAGGTAGAGGGGGTAAGCGTAGACAGTCGGAGCGGAGGGGAGGGGAATGATGGAATGGAATCGAATCTACCTGCGCCACTTCCCGTTTCCGAGTGCATTCGTGGGGGATGGAATACTAGAATGTGGCTGCCGCTGCTGCTGCTGCTGCTCAAGTTCCAGTTCTCTTTCTCGTTATCTTTCTCTCGCCTATCGATCAAGATAATTTGATTCGCATTTTGTTTGGCGCTGCACCCTTGTCTCACGAATTCGTGGGAACCCTCTACAGGTGCTGTTTCCAATCGTTTCTCTCGCATGCTGCAAAATATGAAACTCAATACTTTTGCTCATATTTTGTGTGTGCATCAACATTGTTGCAAATATTTGCTTAATCCGATTTGTATTGTCTTTTTGGTGGGAACTGCGTCTTTTGGAGAGAGACTGCGGATCAGAGGGCGTGTGTCTTAGATTATTTTTCCAGCGTCTGTGTGGCAAGTGGGATTTAAGAGTATAAGAAAAGATTGAAGATCGGACAATTAACAAAAATGATTTGCTAGAACAGGAGCAGAAAGCAGAGGCAGAGACGGCAACAGCAGCAGCAGCAGCAGCAACAGTCGCATCCGACGGAAGCACAAAAGAAAAAAAAGCCAGAAATAGCCACCAAGAACCACAGCAATAATGACAGTCACACAAATCAACAAATCACGATCACACAGAAATCACGATTTCTTGACAACACAAACCAAAAAACAGAAAAAAATTACTAAACAGAACTAAGAAGAAATGGAAAAAGGCAACAGAAATCGAATCACAAACAGAAGCTAAATGCTGGAACAGAAACAATGTAACAACAACATGGTCAAACCCTCTTCTGTGCAAAGCAAAGCAAAGCAAAGCAAGGCAAATACCCTGAGCTAATCCGAAGCACAATTCCTTGATTCTGGTAACCAAAAAGACACAAGCCAGAAGACTACATGAAAGCATTGTCAACATTTGATCATGGCGCATGATTCAGTGGACAACGTTGCATTCCCCTTGCACAGGCCTCAGCACAGCTTCAGCCCTGCGAAATGTGGCCAAAATGTGTAGGCAATTTGTCAACATGTTATGACAACCCATCGGAACGAAACTTGCAAACAAAATCAACAAACGACGAACAGCGAACAACGAATAGCAGCAACATCCACAAACAGCAGCAGCAGCAGCA